TATGCCTAAATTCAATTAGCATGTGTAAATGTAGATAGATACATGCGTAAATGTTAATGAATTGAGCATTATAAAAACACAACACACATACACACACCACACACACATACAGAATACACCTTTCTATATATTTATACACGCGTAATGTATGTACAATTGATGTATCTAATCAAATTGAATAATCGAAATTAGAGATATATTTCTCTCTTAATCATAAACTCTAGAAAACGATAATATAATTAGTACACAAAAAGATATTCAATAAAATATATTTTAATAGCGTATGATTTAAAAACCGATTGCGCACGAAATTGTATAATAATATAATAATAATAAAAAGTATAATAGAGAACGTAACAAAATTTACATCTAAATACTGATAATTAATCAGATAATGGAAGCACTTTAATTTATTGAATATTTTCGTATTTATCACGAATTAGATGTTTAAAAACAATTAACTTCACATCTTGCCATGGATGCTTGCGTGATTTTATAAATTAGAAAACAAGTTATAAATCGAGTTATAAAATAGTGTATACAAAGTTTGTAATAATACATCAACACTGCGCGTATCAAGGCCATTTTCTAATAAATATTATAGCTTTGCTAAAATTGCCTATAACAAATTGTTTGTTAAAATAGAACATCTTTCTTTGTACGATAAGAGTATATAACGAATAGACCAAAGAAAAGATATTTACTTAATCTTGACCAATAATTTCAAAACATAGTCCGGTCTTAAATAATGTCAATAAAAAAATTACTGGTTGTGCTCATATAACACTTCTTTCAATATATATAAGCATAATAAGTCAGCGATCATTCACAATGTATTTAAAACAGAAAAAAATTATATAAAACCTGATTGGTAATAAAATCTTAAATCTCAAGATCAGAATAGCAAATGTCTGTAAGACAATGCATTTAAATCTCGTCGATAATGTTGAAAATGATAGAACATTTCAATTTTCATTCGCTAGACTATTGATTGTACCGCAAATACGATCTTATTCAGACAATCTCAAGCACATTCAACATTGTTGGTGAGATTTAAATATATCATCGCATATACACACTTACCATTTCATTTCTCTCTTAATCTACGTATATGTTCCTCCCAAGACATTTAGAACTTTTTAAAAAGAGCCTCTTTTTTCACATAATTTCTTTTTTTTCATTCATTTCAATATTCTAATTTTAATTACTTGTCATGAATGGTTTCATGCGCATAAGCATATTGTTACACAACCAATATTAATCTCTTTTATATGTCGTGTGCGTGTCAGAAAAAGATAGCAAGTTCAAAATCAGTAGCTTAAGGTTCCTATTAACTCACTTGCAGCGATATCGTCATCATCAATCCAGATGATGGATGATTGATCACAATAAGCCGGCAATGAGTCTGTTCCATAACTCTGACACTATCATTAAAAGTTATAGAATATCTTAAAACAGGAGCCTTAAAACAGAAAACTGATTTTTCTTTTTTCCTTTACAATCGCAAATGGCAGTAATGTCGCAAAATGAATTCGTTATTTCGTTACAGTTACGCATGTCTACATAACCAATGGCAGTATAAGTTCTGAATATTCTGTTTCAGCGACGTATATCTTTTGTCGTTTCTTATACATTATCTACTTATAAAATATGTATAGCTATTTCGTGCTAAAATTTCCTATTGTACCCATCGCGCGAATGCATTCGTTAACCCGACGCATTGTCGGTCGCATCATCGATAGTGCATGTCTATTGCAACATTAATGGCCCATTAAGTTTATACAATTACTGTACATGCACATGTACATCGCACATTTCAAGATACGATACACGTATACGCGTGACACACGTGAACACGTTAATCGATTTGAAGTCGATATTCCGGAGAATGCGAGAAAACCAACGACAAGTACGCGCGGATACGTACTACTATCGGGAATCCGAATGCATATGTAAATACGCGAAAGGCCAAGTTATATACAAGTTTCTAACACTAGACGACTTTGCGTCGGGTCTCAGAAAGCTTCCACAAAACTTGCTGGAAATAATCCCGTACGGCCAGTACGCTGCTGCATACCCTTGTACCATCCATCATCACGTTTCTTCTGTACATATATTATGTCCCCTACACGAAGTTCCAGCTCGAACTCGCTGTTAGGCGGATACGGTACAATACAACGGAATCTGTATCCTGGGCTAAAATTGAATATAATTATCATAAAGTGGCAAAAGAATATTATGGATTGTGACTGAAAAACTCGGGAATTTGAGAAACAAAATGATTTTTACCGATCACGCGACGATTGCTGTTTCATTTGCTTTCCCATCCCAGCATCTAGAGAATTACTCTTGCGATGATGATTTCCAACAGTTGAGCATACCATTGCACTGGATTCACCGGATCTAAAATATGTCAATATTTAACAATATGTTCAATGTTTAAGATTATTTTAATACAAAAACCAAAATAATTTATATAAGTACAAAATATGTAAAATGCAAACATATGCTAGATGAATCAGCGTTACACAAGCATAAAAAACGAAATAAATTTAAATTCAGATCGAATACTGAAATCATTTCACTAGCAACTGTATCGATATCTAAATACTTTAAATATCGGTATAAAAATGCTAGTAAAATTATTTTAATATTCAATTCTTGATTTAAATTATGATATTTTAGAAAATTATTAATAAAGCTATATGACAAACATTTAATGAATTTATTGTGGTTATTATAGTCATTGCATTGGATTTTCAAAACAATGTATCTGTAGTTAATACCTCTCTAAATTATATTTTATTATACATGTTTGTATAAAACAAAATTTATCTCGTGCGAAAAAGCGTGCTATAATTCTGTGATATATAATAAACATTTATGTATTATCAACATATAATATAAAATAAATTTTAAAGTGATATAAATATTTTTAAACTTACCTGGAAATGAAATACAGTTTTACATCGCGAATTAATTTCACAACCAATATTAATATAAAAAAATGGACATAATAAGATATATAATTCTCAAGGATATGATATGGTACCGATTTACACACGAAAAAAATTTGCCGAAAAATTAAAATCTGAATATTTAAAATAAGAAAGTACCAAATTTGTATAGAATATTTTATCATTATCGAATAATTTGCCATCCTATATATTAATTTTTGTCAAAGTAAACAAATAATAATTATTTTTTCTTTTTTCATTATTAATTTTTGTAAAATACAAACAAATATTGCAACTTTAAAAAAAATCACAAAAAAACTTTTTTTTAAATATTTTATAGTTAATTATGATTGTCCTATAATTGACAAAATTTACACATAAAAGTTCACAAAATATTTAAACTGATTCATATTTAGAATTACAAACGACTAACCTCTGGGTTACTGACAGTGGTAAGGAGGGTCTCTCTTTGTATTTCAGTCTCTGTGAGGATGTAATGTGCCCTTGCCCCACAGAGCCTGGACATATGCGGTGTGGGCTGTTTGAAGCATTTAATTCCTGTGTGGGTACCACCTGTAGCAACTGACTTGGGCAAGACTCCGATCTGCGATTGTCGTATTCGCCCCACCCACCCACCCCGTTTCAACACAATATTAGAGAAACATCTCAAGGCGTGCAGTTTGTGTCATGCTGCACAAAGCATGATAGTAAGGGTTTACATTATTCAGGATGGCTGTTTTGCCACCTATCTATTTTACTCGTGTGCATAATTACTAGCAATGCGACGTTCATGCAACGGTCTTAACAAAAAAAGCACTTTATTTAACATTTAATTAACATTTTAACGAACACTCATATGTGCACATACTTCAAATAAAAACGATCATTAAAACATGCAAATTGTAGATTAATTGTTCCCGAGTTTTTGATTATAATACAGATTGTACATACACATACATTTCGTAGATTCGCGATAATTTGAATTTTAATTGTGTACTCACCGAACGTGCATCGGGTTGACGGAATTACCATCGTCGAATACAGGATTATCCATTGAGTATGTTGCGGGTGGAGGAGATTTAGATTTTTTAATATTGGTCAAGCGCCGCATTAAGGAGACGCACTTATCTTTCTTTTCCTTCGGCTGCAATTTACAATTACAATTACAATTAGATATAGAAATATTATTAAATTGAAATAAAAAAGAAGTACATTTAAAACTGCTTGCAAAAATGATACCTTTTCTGTGATTCTAGATGCTATTGCAGCTGCATTCGACGGTGCGATACTACCCGCTACGCGCAAAGTATTATTTGGACTTCTATTCATATCGCTTGCGGAAGAGGAAGGAGCGGAGATAGTAACGTTGCTGCAGCCATTGTTAGAGCTGTTGATACCTGTCGCGGGTTGCAACGATGATGACACGGTGATTTGTTTACCGGGGGAAGCTAAAAAAGAACATCATATAATATAATATTAATGGAAAGTATAATTCAACGCACTATACTTGAAATACGTACGAATATTTGTTGTCATCACCGCACTATGACTGCGCCCAAGAGGGTTGACGGTCGTACTCTGATCGTTGTGTCGGGGCGGACTAGTTTCTTGACTCGGTCCCTGACTCGGCTGAGCGGCGCCGTGCCAGGACGAAGACACAGTCGTCGTAGATGGACTGATGGCACGCGGCGGTAATTCAGGTGGCGGCAGTGCACGAAGATTATATGGCTGCGGCGCGGGACCTTTGTTCTTTGTATATGTCACCGTTAAGCGAGAGTCGGCGTTTGATACAGTATTCGATAGCGAGCCTTGATGTTGACTCGGTGAGTTTGGAGATCCACGGCACAATCCACGTTGACATCTGCTACAAATAGCCATTGGATTATAACGCGAATGATCAGACTAATTCGCGAAGCATGAAAAATGAATACGTACTTAGCAGGTGCAACATAATTTCCGGGAAAAACTCCACACTTCTGGGTACGATTGGACGTGCCTTTGAACCATCCGTCTTGACAGCGTTCTGTCACCATATAAATCCCACCTTTTCGCAATTCGAGCTCATCCGCTTTCTGAGGTTTGTACGGATACAACGCTATATATGCCGCCGGTAAATGCGTCGCATTAGATGTATTAGTAGTCTGACCAGCGGGCATATTTTGCGATGGTTGGGCAAGAACGAGATCACTACTGCCGCTTCGTCTGTGACGAAAATTGTGATCTGTGCAACTACCACTGGTCTAGAATAAAAAGAGATTCGTTCAAACTCAATGTCTTACAAGAGAAAAAAAGAAAAAAGATATTGAAAAAATATATAAAAAAAAAATGACAGAGAATTATACATTGATCGACATAATGATTTGATACACATTGTTACTCATTACACACAGAAATTTGAAAAATATGATTTCCTTACTTGTAAGGAAGAAAATGATTCATTGCCTCCGCTATTATTGGCGTTATTAGGGGCACTGTCTATTGGAGGACTAAGTATTTCAGCACTATGTCTATGATGGGGATGTGCATGATGACCTGTATTGACGGCAGTGAAACTATGACGTTTAACATTATGTCTGTTGCTGACTGCGGGCGGCGACATCGCGGGACTACTAGGGCTGCTCGGAGCGGTACTGGAGCTGCTGGACGTGGTCGAACTGTTAGGTGTGTTCGGAGTCGTAGTCGTGGAGCTACCACCAGATGATACATTTGAGACAGAATCAGATACCTGTAATACAGCAACTCATGTATTTCATGTTAAAATTTTACATTAGTCCGATATCTAAATATTCCGATTAAAAATAACATACCTGTACCAATTGCGGTCGAGACTGACTTGCAGTTTGCACATTACGAGAATGATCGGTTGGTATCAATGGTGTAGTTTCTTCGTTCGTCGGAGTTGGCGGAGCTACTCTTGATGGCCCTGGCTGTACACTAATTAAAAGACTATGTAATGTATAATTTAAAAAAAATATGATAATTAAATTAATCAAATATCTTACTTAGTTGACAATTTCATCAAGGCTCTAGCAACACTATTCAGCTCGACAAAAGCTAGTGGAAAGATACCAATTCTGTCCAAAAGTTTACCTTCTGCCCAATTCTCATCTACTCTTCTGATAACGCTTATAACTTCCCCCTGAAGATGAAACATATATTTATACATTTTATATATATATATAAATATAGATATAAAATATAGATAATATAGATAATAAATAAATAAGTAAATATATATATATTATTTACTTATTTATTTATTTATTATCTATATTATCTATATTTTATATATATATAGAGTGACAACAAGATTAGAGAAAGATAACATATGAAATTACTTTGTTAAATGTTAGACAACCATCCTCGTCATCATTTGTCATTCTAAAATCATATAGCGCTTTACATTGAGGTACATGCGGTGTCAAAGGCGTCATCACCTGAAAGTTACAATAAAACTAATTATAATTAATTCAATTTTATGATACATGATACAATAAAACATTCATTATTTAAGATTCTTGCCTGAACATAAGATAGGGGAAAGACACCATGATTATTGCCACATTCCCCAAAATACCAATTGTTGTCAATCTTCTTTCGAAGAATGATTATGTCACCTTTTTTAAAACTCAAATCGCTGCAAGAATAAATAATAAATAAATAAATTATTTTAGTAGACTAAGAATACCGCAAAACAGGAAAATGCTACAAATATCAATACACACCCTGGCACCTTGGAGACATAGTCATAAATCGCCCGTCCGTATGCCTGATTGTGCAGGTGCACCTGTTTAGCAGCAGCATTGGAATGTCGCACAGCTGGTTCGGAGGCGATGGTAGGCGCGAGATTGCCCGTGACGATAGGCATTGGAGCAACCTGGTGACCACCGAATAGCCGTTGAGGTACAGCGGTGCCGCCCGAGGAGGATCTTGATGATGGCAGCGCGGACTTGACCTGGTTCTTTGGCGCAGCGTTGCGCATCCCCTCGAGGATACGCATCAGCAATACATTCGGCGGTAGATCGTCCACCTTGACGTCCACGAGGACGCGGCATTCCGGACAACGCAATTCGCGATGGGTGCTCACAATCTCCTCCAGGCATTTCTTACAAAATGTGTGCTGGCACGGCAGCACCTTGCTGGATGTGTCAAGTCGCTCCAAGCATACCGAGCACTCTAACAAATCATTCAGCATGCATTCGTCCATGGTGGCGCGATCGGTTGTACGTCCGGATTCCGCGTTGTCCTTGCGTTTATACTGGCTCTATCGAAACGTAGTCTCCTCTTCATCTAATCCATCCGCTCGTATCCCTCTTATTCTCAGTTTCTCTCTCGTCTGTTCTCTCCTTGCCACTCCGCGCCTTCGGTCCGTCTCTCTCGAACATCCGCGATTCACCGTCGCGCACTCTCGTTCTTGTATGAAGAAAAACAGACAGTCTATCAGGCTGCAGTTCCGGTACTGTACGATGCGTTACCGCCGCGAGCGCAGGAATTCAATTCGCTTTTGCTCCCTCCTCTGTCTTCTTCTCCCTTTCTCCTCTTATCCGCCCTTCGCGCTCGCTTGAGGGAAGGTGCGCCCCGTCCCGTCCCGTCCGCCGGAATACGCACGCACGCACGCACGCACGCACGCACGCCTATTCGCTCGGTCAATCGACGACTTGATTAACGACGTCTTGGCTGTCGCGCGACGGCGGCACAGCCACGATGCGCATCTCAGCCACGGCATCGATCAATCGCGCGCGTCGTTAATTTCTTTCGCGATAGGTTCGTGCACGACCTGCGAG